AACCTTATCTCTTTGAGATAATTGATCTAGAAGCCTCTAGTCCTTACTTGACCCTCAAAGACCAGAGTCTAGGCTTATTCTCCTTTCAGCCATGAAGCTGGACGCTTCTGGAGGGCAAGGGCGTCATTTGATTGTTTCTGTGTCTGCCCCGGACTCCTCAGGATGCCAGAGATGAAGGAAGAGTGTGTGGGGAGGGGACTTACTAACTAACCACCTTCCTGCACTTCACAGCCCAGGAGCTCTTGGTGGAAGGGTCCCAGCCCCGAGGTGCTATGGAATCATTAGGCGTTGGAGCACAAATAATTTATTTCTAACACTGGTTACAGCACCCAAAAAAAAATGTGCACATGACTCATTTGATGTCGGTTAGAGCAGCCCCAAGGTCTGGTCTCTCTCGAGGGAGGCTTTTTTCACTCCGTTGCATCCCAATGGGCTTGGGTGAGTGAATGAAGAAGTGAGCGCCTTGATAGCTGGCCTCCTAGGAACTGTGCAAGGAGAGCACCCCAAGGGCGAATCACCTCGCCTTGTGAAGACGCAAGAGGAAAACACACACACAGCAAACAAACCTGAAGCCATTGGCATCGAGCTAACCCTGACTCAAGCAGCCCTAGAGGACAGGGTGGACCTGCCCTGTGGGGTTCTGCGACTGTACCATTCTATAAAAGCAGAAAGCCCCGGCCGCTGGTTCCAAACTGTTGACCTGGTGGCAGGCAGCCCAATGTATCACCCACTGGCCACAGGGCTCCTGTGAAGAAGCCCAGTGGCAGGTGAAAGATGTGGCACTGGAAAGGGCTTGAGGGCTGGAAGCTTACCCCTGTCAGCAGGGCTCTGAGGTAACTGGGCTGCTTCCGTTAGGGGGCGTTTGGTTCCCTGGGTAGTTTAGTTCCCTGAATGGCATAAATGGTGACCTGCTTGACCGCTTATTAGAAAGTTGGCAGTTCAAACTCACCCAGAGGGACCTCGGATGACAGACCCCGATGATCTGCTTCCCAATGCCTCCCAACCTCGGCCACCCTCTGCAGCTGTTCTACTGCGCTACGCCGGATGGCAGCCAACCACAGTGACAACAGCCTGGGTTAGAAAGAAAAGAAAGAGAAGAAAGAAGGGAAAGAAAAGAAGACATAGCTGGGGTATTGGAAATTGTCCGCAGCAACTAAATTCAGGCTTTCCACATACTCCATTGGTGGAAGAAATGTGCCATCAACAAGACAATTCCACACTTGTGAAAATAATCGCCCCAGCATGACTCCAGGCAAAGTGGGATGCCGATGTCCATTTACTTCTATTCTGTCACACGTCAGACCTCTCTGTTGTGAATGGGAGGCCCTTGGGGTCCCTCAAAATACCCCTGCTGCCACCCATGGCTCTGCAGCCTAGCTGGCCCCCTGAGCTCAGGGTTCTAGAAGGAACCACATGTCCTTTGCCTTCATAGAGAATGGAGTTCTGGTGGCATAGTGGGTTATGCGTTGGCCTGTTTAACCACAAGGTCAGCAGTTCAAAACCACCAGCTGCTCCGCAGGAAAAAGAGGAGGCTTTCTATTCCCACCAAGATTGACAGTCTCAGAAACCCACTGGGGCAGTTCTATCTGGTCATAACAAGTCAGTGGTGGTGAAAAAAAAATTTTTCTCGGAGAAAAATATATCCCAGGGCCAGCTGCCTGCCTTTCTCTGGGGGCTCTGCTCTTGGGGATCACTCGAATGGCCCACCCAGAAGTGGCTACAGTCAAAGGCAGCAGTTCCCAACCTGTGGGTTGCGACCCCTTTGGGGGTTGAACAACCCTTTCACAGGGGTCGCCAGATTCATAAGAGTAGCAAAATGACAGTGATGAAGGAGCAATGGAAATAATGTGATGGTTGCTGAGGAACTGTATGAAAGGGTGGCAGCATTAGGGCGGTGGAGAACCACTGGTCTAAGGCCTGGGTGTTGCCTGCTTGCAGGGCTGGGCCTGACCTAGCCGAGCTGGGTGAGGCGCCCGCTGAGCTGCTCATATCGTTCTCTTTCCCTGCCCCGGCCTGAAGAGATGAATGCCAAGATGCTGGACTTCGAGACATTCCTGCCCATCCTGCAGCACATCTCCCGCAACAAGGAGCAGGGCACCTACGAGGACTTTGTGGAGGGGCTGCGAGTTTTCGACAAGGAGAGCAACGGCACTGTCATGGGTGCAGAGCTCCGGCATGTGCTGGCCACCCTGGGTATGCCAGCTGGGCGTGGGCTGAAGCCCAGGGGGAAGCAATGAGGGTGGGAGATGGGAACACTGAGCTGGCCCTGAATTCTGAGGGTCAGTCTCATCCTGCTTCCATCTCCCAGGAGGGCTTGCAAGGACTACCTTTCCCAGAGGGCTTTGCTGGTAGACAGAGGGAGGGGGTGGGTGGGATAGAGATTCCATCCTTGGCTTTGTCACAGTTTCTGGGGTCCTGGTCTGCCCACCCTGTGGTGGCCGTCAGGGAGAGGGAGAAGCCTCAGGGACTTGGCAGGGCCTCTGAGATCCTTGGCGCTACCTTCCAAAGCCCTGAGGAGAGGCTAGAACCCCCTTCCCAGCTCCAGGGAGCCTTGAGCCCTCATACTTGAGGGCCCTTGGCTTTGCCTGCTTTCCCTTTGCCATCTGTAACAAAGGGTTCCCTGCCCCTCAATCCAGGGGAGAAGATGACGGAGGCTGAAGTGGAGCAGCTGCTAGCCGGGCAAGAGGATGCCAATGGCTGTATCAATTACGAAGGTATCAGGTCATGGATAGGTTCCCTGGGCCCTGCAGGGCCATGTGGCAGGCCCAGTCTGTACCGGGTGGGTCTGCAGTAGGCTCAGGAGCTGGAGGCTAGGCACACCAGATGCCCGTGGGGGGTTCCTGGTGGGTGCTGCTCTCCGTCTTGAACTTGAGCACCATGACGGAAACCAAGGTACATGGACTTCCGTGAGCACCCTGTGATATGCAAGCTATGGGACCTTGTGAACGAGCCCATCGCTTTCTCGTAGCCTCAGTTTTTCTATCTACCAGCTGGAGTCAGGGGATGATAGCACTGTCTTCAAGGCCACGGGGACTCATTGAGGGACGGTCATTCACTTTATCTGCGTCAAGTCAGCACACAGAGTGGACGCAGAGCAGACTTTCCGTCTCTTTCCTCCCTCTCCCTACTTCCCACAGGGACAAAAGTCACCGTCTGGCTAAGAGCTGGCTGGAAGGGTGGAACTCAAGGGGTGGGAGGGGGTGGGGAATGTGTTAGGGGCCCAGAGGGAAATAAAACATTGACAGGGGACTGAGTTTAGTAGCGAATTTTCATCTCCCCCGCCAGCCTTTGTCAAGCACATCATGTCTGGGTGAAGCCAGCTCCTGATGGTGAGTATAAGCCTTTCCCTCCTGCTCCCTTTTGGGCCTTGGGAACACTACCATGTGACCATGGGGTCTTCCATTCCAAGTCTGACCCCACAAGGGGGCACTGAATGACAGCATCCCAGCACCTTCTCATCTCCCCCTACCCTTAGCGCTCCTATCACCCACCTCCCTTCCTTCCGGCTTCCTGCCCTCTTCTGTCTTTTCACCCTATTTTCCTCCTCACCACTCACCCTCTCCTACCTCTCCTGGGTTTCCTTAGAGTAAGACACTTAGATACTTCCTCAGGCCTGGAGTTTTCTGTACAGGCTCCGGGCGGGTAGGGGGTGGGGGTGGGGTGAGAACGCAGGATCCCAAGTGCAAGAGTGTTCCGGCCTGCGCTTGAGTGTCCCCCAGGCCCTGTGCTGTCCTGCTGGGGAGATGGGGTTTGTGGTATGGGGCTGGGGCAGAAAGGGGGGAAATGCCCTTTTGTTCTCATGCTCTCTTGCAGGTGCCCGGCTCTTGGCTTTTGCCATCACAGGGTGGGTGAGCAAGAGGCCTGGAGAAACTGAGCTGGAGCCAGAGACCCAGATCTGTCACTGCACCACAGCCCTTCCTGTAAATAAACAGCCTAGGCAAAGCTGGGCCGAGTTCCCTGGTTCTAACATGTCTTTGACTTATGGTTTTATTTTTGGTGTGTGTGTGATAATCTCACCTGAGGCCTCATGAATATTCATCAGATAAATGAGTACATCCCTCTTGACTTACTGACATGATTGGGTGCCAAAGACCAGGTCGTTATCTGATAATAGGTGTTACGTAAAAATGGAGGATGACCACATCAGATCACAGCATGGAGGTGGACTGCACCATTGCGTAAGTGCCAGCTTACATCGGTACATAACTGCCAAGTTGACATAGAACCATGACCCATCACAGCTAGCGTTGCTCTTGCCTCAAACCTTTTTCTTTAAATCATTTTACTGGGGACTCTTACAGCTCTTATAACATTCCATACATCAATTGGATCAAGCATATTTGTACATATGTTGCCACCATCATTTCCAAAACATTTTCTACTTGAGCTCTTGGTATAAGCTCCTCTGTTTTCCCTTTCCTCCCCCACCTTCCTTCCCTCATGTATCCTTGATCAATTATATGTTGTTATTGTTATTTCATAGCTTACACTGTCCCTGGTCTCCCTTCACCCACATTTCTGTTATTCGTCCCCTTCGGTGGGCCTATATATCCAAACTTGTGATGGGTTCCCCCTTTCTCACCCTTCTCCCTCTATGACCATCCCCCTACCTCAGGATATGGCTGCTCCCAGCTACTGTTCCTGAGGAGTTTAGCTGTCCTGAATTCCTTGTGTTGAGAGCTCTTATCTGTACCAACGTGTGTCCTCCGGTCTAGGCAGATTTGTAAGGTAGAACTGGGTCATGGTGGTGGGGGGAGGAAGCATTCAGGAACCAGAGGAATGATGTGTGATTCGTCGGTCTTGCCTCAAACCTTTATGGCACCTGCACATCGTTCATACGGAAAATAGCCAGATAGGTTTCCACTCTTGTTGCAAACACAAAGTGATACACGATGCATGCATCAACAAGCGAGGAGCACGTACAGTGTCTGGAAGCTGACACGGCGTGGACAAAAGCCCAGGCGTCTGTAAAAAGGCAGGGTTGGACACGAGCAAAGCGCTCTGGAAGGATTTAGAGTTTGAATAGTTGTACTTCCTTCTAAAGCTCACTGTCCATCTTTTCTCCCCTCCAGGTGGCAGGCAGGGAAAGGATAGCCATGAACCGACTTAGAGAATTTCCTACTGGCCCTTTATATGTATGTATGTATATACACACACATATACATATACATACACACACACACACACACACATATATATACATACATACATATATATATATATGTGCTTTTTCCTATGAAGTAGGCGAGGGTTTAACATTTCAGATAATCAGTTCTGTATTCAACAACGTAAACTACCTAGAAACCTCTCAATGGGTTGCTCTGCTCCACCCCTTGATTTCTCTATCTTTTCCTTCAGGAGCCTTGGTGGCACAGTGATTACACGTTGGGCTGCGAACCCACAAGGTCTGCAGGTCAAAACCACCAGCCATTCGTTGGGGGAAGATGGGGCTTCCTAGCCCTGTAAAGAGTTACAGTCTTGGAAACCCACAGGGGCAGTTCTACCCTGTCCCATAGGCTCCAACGATGAGTTGGCATGCACTCAATGGCAGTGAGTTTTTTTGTTTTTGTCTCTTTCCTTTGACACCAGTTAGCACCCGTTGTTCCCAGTCTCGCCTATTGCTTTACCGTCCCTGTTTTCCCTGCCCCACCCCCAACCATCAAAGCTTATTTCTTCAGGGATGAAGGCCTTTGTCTTGATTTTCCCTTTATAACAATGGTTCCGTACCTTTGTGAGTGACGCAGCATGGTGTTCTCCAGTTTCATCATTACTACTGCAGCAGTAGTATTCCATGGTGTGTTGGTACCGACGTTCCTTTATCTATCCTTCCACTGACGGGTATTGAACTTGTCTCCTTTTCTTGATCTCGTGAGTTAGTGTTGCCATGACCATGGCTGTGGCATGGGTCTGTTGGAGCTTTGCCTCTTACTTCATGATCATCGCAGAGCCAAGGAGGCATTGCTGGGTCGTGTGGACTGTCCATTCCCAGTTGTTTGAGGAAGCGCCGCACGGCTTTCACTAGGGGCTACACATTTCTGCAGCCCCCCCAGCAGGGGGTTGATGGTGTCCATTTCCACACACACTGCAGCCGCTCTTCCTTTCAGAGTTTTAAACTTTGCTCTCAACCCTGGTGCGAGGTGGGAGGTGGTAGCTCATTGTTGCTTTGATTTGGATTTCTTGACTGGCTAGGGATCTCAAGCATAAGGTGACCAGACGTCCCGCTTTTGGGCGTTTTAAAAAAGTCCCGATTTTTGGAAAGAATGCAACGACAAGCTAGGGAATGGTCTATGTGGTCCATATAGACCAATTAAAAATTATTTTATTGGGGGCTCGTACAATTCTTATCACAATCCATACATCCATCTATTGTGTCAAGCACATATGTACATTTGTTGCCCTCATCATTCTCAAAACATTTGCCTTCTACTTTAGCCCTTAATATCAGTTGCTCATTTTCCCCTTCCCTCCCCCCCCCCCTCCCTCATGAACCCTTCATAATTCATAAATTATTATAGTTTTGTCATAAGTTACACTGTCTGACAACTTCCTCTGCCCTCTTCTCTGCTGTCCATCCCCCAGGGAGGAGGCAATACTTAGATTCTTGTAATTGGTTCCCCCTTTCTACACCACATTCCCTTCACCCTCCAGGCATTGCCCCTCTCACCACTGGTCTGAAGGAGTCATCTGTCCTGGATTCCCTGTGTTTCCAGTTGCTATCTGTACAATGTACATCCTCTGGTCTAGCCAGATTTGTAAGGTAGAATTGGGATCATGATAGTGGTGGGGGGAGGAAGCATTTAAGAACTAGAGGAAAGTTATGTTTCATCGTTGCTACCCTGCACCCTGATTGGCTCGTCTCCTCCCAACAACCGTTCAGTAAGGGGGTGTTCAGTTGCCTACCTAGACCAAATTTTTAATCAAGAATGCCCCCTACCCCGGTCAATGGTGTCCTGCTTTAAATCTGGTCACCTTACCAAGCATTTGTTCCTATGTTGGTTGGCTGCCTGGGTGTCTTGGGTGACATGTCTGTTCATGTCCTCTGCCCACCTTTTAGTTGGATCATTTGTCTTTCTCTTGTTGAAGTGTTGATGTTTTCTGTACATTTTAGAGATTCGCCTCTTGTCTGAAGTCTTGTTGCCCCCAAATTTCCCAGTCCTTTTACTCTCTTGAGGAGGAAGTCCTTGGAGGCACACAAGTCAGAACGTCTCAGTCATTCATTTTGTCTTCTGCTGCCTGTGGTTGTGTGTGTGGTTGTGTGTGTGTGTGTGATGTTTGGAAGTGTGTTTATGGTCTCTATTAGGGCTTTTAAGTTTGTCTCTATTTTCTCATTGATGAGGGACCTTGCTTCTTGTGGTGGCCTCTTCCCTTGACTGTCAAGTCCTGGTTCCTGATTTGGCCTCTGGGGCATCTCATGGCGTCTCTCCTTCAAACTCTGAGCTTCAGACCAGAGACCAGCTCAGGGTCCCAAAGATCTCAGGGGTACAGACTTCAGGCTAGGGCAGAGGCATGGGGTGTGTGGATAATTGGGGAGAAGAAAGAAGCTAATGTGATGAACTGAAAGACACACACACACACACACACACACACACATATACACACACACAAAACAGAGGCAGAAAAATGTACATTGGCAGTGAGGGACCCGGCCATCGTAGGATGAGGGTCTCTACAACCCTGAGAACTGTAAGGTGAAGTAGATACTTCTCCTCGTAGCCTATCTGATGTCTTGTCAAGGAATCCAGCCACAGGAACTTGGTGGACTATCTCCTATGAGTCTGGCCACACTGCCTACCATGAGAGGCTTTGAACCATGAGCTAAAGTCCAGCTTTCTCAGCGCTTCTGGTCTGGCTGAGGAGATAAGACTGGGGCTTGTGCACACTCCTTCTTTGAAGAGAGGCACAAGCAGTGACCGCGGACTGGTCGAATCATAAAACCAGACACCTTCATACAGGGAGAGCGGGCCATTGCAGCCAGCAGTTTCCAAATGGTTTCAGCCGCATGACCTTTTTGTTCAGAGGATCATCAATGCAAAAGCTTACGTGTGAAACGGAAGGGAACAGCGCTTCCCTGGCTGAGGGGCAGGCTTTGGGTTCCAGAGTTTTGGAGTCTCAGCTAGAAGATCACAGATTTTGCCACACTTTAGACTTATTAGGAAAAAAAAAAAGAAATCCGTCCTTAGATGACTCACGCGAGGTCGTAATGAATGAAAGCGAGGCTGGGTTCCCTGAGCCCTGTTTGGCTCCCCTTTCCCAAACGCCCACCTACTTTGGAAACATTTCCTTACCAGGAGCCCTGGGACTTTGTGGGGCTCTTCCCCGCTTCCTTCCCTAACTGCTCTCGCTCTCTAATCCTCTCCCCAACTTGGACGCAACCATTCCATCTCAGGGTTGGGAACACGTCAGCTTCTCTGCCCCTTTCCTCTCTGTCTCCAACAGGTACTTGTTCCTTTATTCATCATTGCGTGCGTTCACAAAGAATTGGGGTGAATGCTCCCCCTTATTTAAAAACCAGTGCGTGTTTCCCCTGTCCAGGAGTAGCCTACCCGTTTAATGGAGCAAGCAAAGGAGCGCCCGGGCTGTAACTCGAGGATGGTTCTCCGTAGGATCGTGCCACCTGTGTAATGCACAGCGTGCCTTCTACCAACGCACCTGCCAGAAGAACGGGAGGAACCCCCTGCCCTCACCTCGAGTTGATTCTCGCTCATTGTGACCCCCAGAGGGCAGGGGAGAACCGCCCCTGCAGATTCCCGAGGCTGTAAATCTTCACTGGAGCAGAAAGCCTGGTCTTTCTCTCGCCGAGGAGCTGGTGGTTTCGAACTGCTGCCCTTTTGGTTAGCAGCCCCACATGTCACCCACTACAGCACCAGTGAGGTGCAATGAGGAACAAGCTTCTTGGGACACGAGCCTTAAGCGAGACGTGCAGAGCAGCCCCCTGGGGAGAACATGGATCAATCAGATATGAGAGAG